AATCAACTCATTGGACCACGTTTTAATAGTTCGGGTCTTCCACAGGGCTCAGTTTTAAGTCCACTTCTATTTAATCTTTACACAGCCGATTTTCATAATATTAGTATCGAAAAAATCTCATTTAATACAATACAATATGCAGATGACTTCTGTATCTATACGGAATCTAAAAGTTACAATAACGGTTTAAACACATTAGAAAGTGTTCATGAACATTGCTGTAGGTGGTTTAAAAAAAATGGTTTTGAGTTGGCAAACAACAAGTCTAACATTTGTATATTCACTAGACATAACTTGCCTCAAGGAGAACAAATAAAATTAAATGATAATTATTTTCCCCTCTGTAAGTCAATAAAATATTTGGGTATGATTTTGGATACAAAACTGACCTGGAAACTGCATGTTGATTTTATGCTTGATAGATGTAATAAAGCACTAAACTTTCTAAAATCAATTTCAAAAACTTGGTGGGGTGCAGATGTTGAAACGTGTCTTCTATTTTATCGTTCTTATATCAGGTCCATTATAGATTATGGCTCTGTACTTTACGGCTCCGCTAGTAACAATATTTTACGTCGTATAGATGTTTTTATACACACAGTTTTGCGGTGTTGCATTGGTGCTATGAGATCTACCCCTATTGAACCACTTTATGTTGAGACAATGGAACCGCCCAGTAAATTTAGAAGAGAATATCTCAGTCAAAAATTTCTTCTTAAAGTTTGTTGCTACAACACTTGCTTATATAAAGATATTAGTATTTTAAATTATTTCGACTTAACAAATAAATATTGGACTCGCAAGAATTCTCCACCGCTATGTGAAGCATTTCGAAATACTGCAAATAAAGATACTGAACTTATAGTTGCAAACAAAGTAGTACATTTTAAAGATTTCTTTGAGTTACTGGATCAAGTACATATAATACAACCTATTTATCATGAGAACCCTTTAATAAGTCGTATTGTTTTAAACAACTATCTGACAAATTGGCCAAAATCTGTTTGTATTTATACAGACGCATCTAAAAGTTCAAAGGGTACTGGTTGTGCCTTTTATATTCCAGATAAATTTATAGGAAAAATGTTTAAGCTGCCCACAAATTTCTCTATTTTTAGTGCTGAGGCTGTGGCCATATATGAGGCTTTAAAGTATTTTAAATTGGCATCGTATAGTTCAGCAGTAATTTTATCTGATTCATTATCTGTACTTACAGCTATTCAAAAACCGCAACTACCCTGTAGTACTTCTAATCCATACATTTTTTTAATTAAAAATTGCTTATTTGAAATTAATAAATACACCCAAAAAATACAATTGATGTGGATCAAAGCACATTCAGGACTTACATATAATGAACACGTGGACCAGTTAGCAAAAAATTCCATCTTTTATGGAACACTTACCAACTATAAACCTTGCATTATAGATGCTTTTGCTTGTTCAAGAACTAAACAAATGAACAACTGGAGAGAACACTGGGAAAAGTACTGTAGTATTTCAACAACACAATACAGTTTGATACAACCAATTATTCCAAAACAACCTTGGTATAAGAATTTCGTCCTCCCTCGCAAATACATAACTACCATCAGTAGACTTAGATTTGGTCATGCATGTTATCCTGTACATTTATTTAAAATAAATATATTAGATTCGGATATTTGTCAAGAATGTCAGATTAAAAGTGACTTAAACCACATATTTTTTGAATGTCAAAAGTATAAACAACCCACCAACAACCTAATTAAAAGAATGATAGACAAGAACATCCCTCTTCCTGTTAATATTCTCTTTTTACTATCTCTCAATGAGAAGAAAATGTATAACTGCTTGATAACCTTTTTGTCTGATAGTAAAGTATGCCTGTAATTAGTAAGATTTGTAACCTATGTTTAGAAAAAATTCATGAAAAAAATAATAAAAAAAAATTATTAAAAAAAAAAAAAAAGTTCAAAAAAAATAAAATAAAAAGAATATAAAAAAAAATACTTAAAAAATGAGGATCTAAACCTCCGAGATGTTGAATCGGGTTTATGTCCTAACGTAGTGAAAGAAAAAAAAAAATGTATTACCATAGTTGTAGTTATTAACATAGTAGGTAGATATCTTTATTTTTATATATTTTTTTTATTTGTAAGATGTATACACTATGAATTTCTGAAGGCGTCTCTCAATAACTAAACTATAATAAAGGTATGATATAGTATTTATTAACATAGTATGTACATTAGCTTAGCTAATGAACTAGCTAAAAAAAAAAAAAAAGTTTCTCAAAATACTAACAAACTTGGTAACCTTTGCATACCTACAGAAGTAATACATATTTCACTTGATATTTTTGATGTTAAGTTTAAAAATGTTTGTTATTTGGAAATTGTCAGTAAGTTGATTTTAAATGGTATAAAAAAATTTAAATGAAATCAATCCATCATTTTTAATCATTGACGACTCTTGTAAATCACATCGACAACGGTTATTAGAATTTTTAGTTATCAATAGGTCATCAATAGGTAATGTAAAAAAGCAATTTCAATTTTAGAATAAAAATTTCTTAAATATTTGCTCCGTGCGTAACTCACGCGACACCTACCGCCTTCATCTGACAGTTTTGGACCCCCCAATTTTCAGGTTAAACATATGACATATGTTTGACATTGTTAAATACATGCGAAATTGACAATTATTAATAATTAGTTTTTTAATTATATTTTTTCAGTTTATGTACAAAATAAATGTAGTATTAAAACTGGGTTTCTCACAATTCATCATAATATATCTTTTCAACCCAAACGGAAAAGAAATGGAAAAATCTAGTACTGGAAAATTAAGTTTTTCACGTGAAAGACCATATAATTAAAAACAATAATAATAAAAGTTATGATATAAAAGCTAAAGTCATTAGGCAGTTAGCTTGAAGCCTTATGAAATATTATTTAAGGTAAATTATTAAAATTTTTCCTCTTTCAATAGCATAAAAATGAAATTATGTGATATTTACTTTTTCATGCTAATAGCACAAATCCATCTTTTTCTTTTCTTTATATGTAATATTTGGGAACCTATAAAAACTACACTCAATATTTTTGCTATTATTAGCACAATTAAATACGCAACATGTATTTGTACACATTTTTGATAAAATTTATGCGTAAAAAGATAGGTCCAATTAGGTCATATTTCGCCGCTAAGCACGCTGGCATCGTTTCAAGGTACCCCTACCATGGTCACGCACGGAGCGAATACATTCAGCTATAACAATTTTTAGATTATTTTCTTCAATACCTTATCTATTTGTTCAATTTTTTTATGCTTTTATTTCACTGCTTTATATTTTAAGTTATACACAGAATGTCATTAATATTATAAAAATTATTATTTTTCCTTTTAATAATATTACTAATACCTTTATTAGTTAATTATGTTTTAGTACTAGTTGTTATTTTAAAAGATTAAATAGTACCCATACAGCGTAAAAACTTTCACATAGACTATTCATTAAAAGTTACTGTTAAATATTTCAAAAATAAATCAGGAATGCTTTTTGTTCTTATTAAAAAATTATGGATGAAATGGAAGTTTCGGCGAAATGGAAAATTTCATAATTTAGTAAAAAGTTTCATTGAATACTTTTTTGAACAGGACATTTGTTCAATGAAATAATTTGAAAAATTATCTAAAAAGTTTGACGAAAAGTCCTGAAAAAATTAAATTTTTGGTTGAAAAATTTTGAAATTTTTTACAAATGTTTCGTTAATTTTTGGGCAGAAAAACAGTATAATAAAAAGTTATGTGACGGTGTTTCGTAATGTAGGATATGTGTATGAATATTTTTAATTCAAAGTTATGAAATTAAAAAAATAAATACTTTGAATATTGTAAATATCATACATTTTTAAGTTTTAAAATTAAAAATTTAACAATTTAATATATTAAAATTAAAGATTTTATTGTGAAAAAACAAAAAAAAAGACAGTTTGCAAATCAATGGCATCGAAATTTGTTTAGGCGTAGATGCAAAGTTACATAAATAGCTCGGTTCGTACTCCTTTCCCACTTCCCCCTAACTACATATTTCATTAAGCCGACGGCCACGGCACCACGCTTTGGGTTTATGCAGCCACCCTCTTAAGGAGTGTTTTGACGTATAAACCGTAACCAAATGGCCCATTTGGGCACTGCTCTTCTATAAGCGTCTATATTCTTTGATGGTACCGAACCAAAAGGTGCCATCTTCGTCCAAAGTAACCAGCATAAGACACGACAAGATTGATCATCTCCTAACCTATATTTCCGATAAAAAGAGGTGACTTTGTGCATGTGAGGGCTGCAGTTCGCATGTATGTACCATGTGTTGCAAGTGCAATGAGGGATTATACATCGAGTGCAACATAGGCTTTCATCTAAAATAATTTGATTATGTTTTTTCATCTAGTTTTGTATTATTTGTTTGTTATTTTAAAATTTATAATACGGAATATTTTAAATATTTTTGCTCCTAAATCTTCCTAGCGTTAATAAATATGTAACGGCAATTTTCTAAGAAATCAAAAATAATTGAGAAAAAAAGTGTATGGATTTTGTTTTAAAACCTTCTTCCATATACATCGAAATCACAAAAATAAAACTTTAAACAAATTAAAATTAAGGAACTTAAGGGTTAATTGTGGTGAAAGCACAATTCACCGTAAGTTTTTATCTTTTATTATAAACTGCCACGACAGTTTCAATTGCAAGTTTCACTTAAATTCCAAGACGACACTTCCCCTTGGGTTAATTTTTATGTTAACCAAAATAATAGCCAAGTTCTGGGCATCCTTTCTTCACATCCAGGTTTGATTTACCTCACAATCTATTTGAACGAATACAGAACCGTATTTCCAGAAAATACACTTGATTGTAATACGATGAACCCATAATCTAATTTTGACAAAAAAATCAAATTCAACAAAAACGTGTTTTATCGATCAATTATGTTTTTATCTTAAAAATAAACTTACCATATTCAGAAGACACAATACTTCTGTTGCAGGTCCTGAAGCACCGACTAAACTAAGACCTGGCACTTGAATTTGAACAGCAGGCAACACTGTAGTATTTTTAGCTCCAACACTGGCTCTTTGAACAATTAATCGTTTATCTCCCAATTGCATACCATTGAGACCAGCTATAGCCTAAAAATGTAAATATTAGATCATGAAATAGTAGCTGGAATAAATAAGACAATTAGTTTACTGTTGACTGGAGTATATCGACAACTGTTTATTTTGGGGGAAAGGTTAAAACAGATGTATTAAAAATTTAAGTCAAAAACTGTTTTGAACAGTATTGTATAATTTCGACCAGTTTGGCTTTGTGCAACTAAAACTTAAAATGAGAATACGAACATAGCAACAATTATTCATACAGTGAAGTTTGTTAGAATAATAATAAAAACATATTTAGAAACATTTACGCAAATAGACGCAAGAAATAAAATATATAAGAAAGGGTTTCATCCAATAAATTATGGACGAGAAAGAGTTGTTAAAGTTGCTAAACATGAAATCGTACATACCTGGTCCGTCATTGTAATATCTATGTATTCAGCAAATGCATATCCTTTGCTTAATCCAAATGCAGTGTCCTTTACGAGATTGAAAGCCCTTAATTGTCCAAAAGACATAAGAAGTTCCTTTACCTAAATATTTTATAATAATTAAAATTGTTACCAACATACAGTAAACGATGAACTCAGAATCAAGTAAGTGAAGTGACATTATTATTAATTGTTTTGTTAAATAACTTGTTTTGGTATCAAAATTTAAAGTTTAAATTAAACATAAATGTTTCTAAAAGACAGACAGTTAAGATTTGATTTCATCAGAGTGACTATTTATAACATTTTTGTTTCGTCAATAGAAATCTTCGGATTTATACTTTCGTGATAAATATTTCTATTACAACTAATTTTCAAGTAAACATAATAGTTAAAAGAAATCAAAACATATAACGTAAGTAGTAATTTAAAATAAAATTAAGCAGATAAAAAGAAATAAAACAAATATCATGAAATATTAACATACTTTACACATGATAAGCCAGCATTTCTTTTACAAAACACATATTTGGAAATACATGTTTGAAAATACGATTTAAGGAACTATTTTGAATTTTAAATATACCAAATACTAAACATCAACTAAAAGAATATAAATAAACGAAATATTCCACGTCGATCTCAAGTAAAAAGTTATAATAACCTTCTGCTCTTTATGTAAAAACTCACTTGAACGACTCATAATCAGAGGTTTTTTCCTTGACATTGTTTACTCTGTAAAGTTGATAGAGTAGACAGAGCAACATGTGATTAAGGCTTTTTTAAAAGCCTAGATTTTTGGACTGAAGTATAGATGTAGGGTACACACAAAAGACCTGTGTGAAAATGTTGACGAAAAAAAAATATCTTGTCGAAATCTACAATTCTCATCAAAATAAGAAGAAATTTGTGTTTCTTCTCAATTTGTTTCCCAATAAAATAATAAATTGTGAATAAAAATGATAAAAAATATTAGTTAATGTTCAACTATTACATTTTTGATAACGTGAATCTAGCAAGACACAGTGATTTTAAATCGCAAAACCTATAAACCTATAAACTTAAATAAATGTTTTACATGTGACTTTAAAAACTTTTGTTCAAGCCTGATTCACCTTTGATTTTGAGTCCATTATTACATATAAACATTAATTTACCAGTTATTTGTTAGGCTGTGTATTTTAATAACAGTGATGGGTCATTTTATTAACCCTATGGTTTAATCTGAAGAAAATTTTAACTTATATATTACCAATATTTAGTATCGTTGTCAAATCTAATCAAGACATATTAACTATACATCAAAGATATTTTTTGTTGCCAAAGATAAAAATAATACTTTGTTTTTCTACAGATTCTATTAATATTTACTAATATGAATATATTAATTAACATGATTACATTTCTCAAATTTTGCGCAAATGGTTGAATCTTACTGGAGTTTTCAATGTATCTCTAATTTGTATAAATCGTAGTTTTGTTTGCAATATAAAAGGAACTCATATAACAATGAGTTACAAAATTTAGAGATCCTAAGACGATTATTTTAAATAAGAGTTATAAAGATCAGAAGAGCATTACTGTCAAAATATGTGGAATAAGAATTAGAGAAAAGAATTAATTATTTAATTACGCCTTATTTGAAATCAGTTTAAGAGAGCACATAAATCGAAACTATATAGCCTTCCACCAAAAGAATAAAAAAGGGGATATACTGCACAGAAGAGGCATCGATAGTAGAATATTAAGAATAAAGAATCAGAGATATTCTAGACCCAAAACTGATTAAGGCTATCAGGGTGGTTAAGTTCTACTTTATTTACAATATTTATGGATGAAATAATAAACCAATTCTTAAAACAAATTTCAGAAGGAACATTTTGTAAATTATATAATAATCATTGTTGTAACTAAATATTTATTATTTTGTCCTTTTTTAAATCGTCAGCCAAAATAATTTGATGAGAGTCCCAAAACATAGTCTCTAAATTTTCTTGCTGACAAAATGGTTATGTGCTTTGATAATAATTGATAATCATTGTGTATCGTTGTTGAAACATTTCTTTGGTTTTGAGAATATAATGCTGGGCAAATGTTTAATCGACATTTATGAAACGGCACAAAATCCTTGGAATTAAAAAAAACTGTCAAAAGGTTAGGAGATATCCGAGGCAATAACAGTTTTTTTTACATCCACTTAAGGATTAATAGTTTGTGTTAATATATAAATATCGCACAAAAATCAACACCTTAAAATTTGCGGCATAAACAAATAATAATAAAAAATAGTAATGTGATAATGTTTGTTGAAATATTTGGGAAAACTTATCAAAAAATTTAGGGTTTCACGACATATGTTTTGTAATAATACATTGTTTTCGGAGATTATAGGCCGTGGTCTGAAATTATTTCTTGATCAATAATATTGTTCCCCAAATGATTGCCCTTGATAGTGTATGCCACAATTGCAGAAGAGAAGTCAGTAAGAAATTCCAGACTATGGCCTGTAAACCTTGACAACAATGTACCATTACAGAACTGAATTTGATGAGTTTTAGTGGTTCTTGAATATATTACACATTATAGATTTTTGTAAATTATATCAATACATACAATTTATTGTGGTAATACCACCCATCACAATTATTTTGAAACAGCCTCCAAGTCAGTCAGAATTAGGAAATGACATTAACGCTTGGTCGTGGGGGTATATTTACGTGACTTGCCTTGACTTTCCACAGGGTGTTCAGGTTTATTTGTTTGCAGAAACCGACTCAAACGCATCGAGCTGATAACCCTAGCTACAGGGCAAAAAAGCAGAATATATAAGACGATATCAATACAGGTTTTATTTTATTTCTAAGACTTTTAGGTTAGAAAGAATGCCATAATTATTTTAAGATTGTGTTTTTATTATTTGGTTATGACTATTTTTTACCTCGAGTTTAGTAATCTGTGTGTCGGAATATTTAAATCATTAGATCAATATTAAATTATTAGGTTCATCACCTAGAATTTAATTATTACGTCTTATTATATCTATAGGTATCTATCACATTGTAATAGTTAGCTGTCAATTTACAAAATTTGCAATTTACGTAAGTACTAATGAAAATTTAAGGAGTAATAACTATTTAAATGGCCTGTATAACAACTTTGTATTCTCTTAACGGGGAAGTTAAATTTAAAATAAAATATAAGATAAAAATAAAAACATATCTCTGTGATGCGGTATAGTGATATAAAAGGCAATGCATATTTGTAACTAATTTTAAAATGTGAAGCTTATAGCTATCTCCTATTCTTGTAAATAATGTTTTGGTTATCTCCTGTAATAACAGATATAACAGACTTTGTCAGAAATTTTGATCAACCTGTATAATTAAATTGTGTAAAACCTTGTGTCTACTAGGCAAGATACACTTAGAACTTCAGAAAACTGAACTCCGAGTATAATCACTCTTCTCAATCAAATATCATCTTCATAAATAGGCAAACTGGACAAAGCAATGCACAGATTCGCAAAAATTCTGGAAAAATATTCTCCTGAACGAATTATACTCTTTGTTATAAGTCTAGACCTTTCAGGTTGACGTATAAAAAGACATAAGCACAATCTTTAAAATCTACAAATGTGAAATTTGCAATACTTTTGAATTTTTAATAGTATTCAAATCCAACTCCTGTATATACTCCATTCGCTTAGCTCGGGCATATTTTGACAGATTCGTTGTCGGAAACCTGTGACACAACAATTCCTACTTCTCAGTATTAATAGCTCAAGTATACTATTATTGCAGACTTCTTTCTTTGAAAAAAAAAAAAGAATTATTCTAAATAGTGAAAGTGTATACTAAACCCATCAAATTTTGGGTAGTATATATTTAAAAAATATATTTTAGTTGTTATAATTTAACATGACTATTTATTATATGGCGCAGATAAATAAATATTGATTGTCGGTAATTCGCAAAGTTTCTATTTTATTTACTATTTAGTTTGTATACAAGAATATTGGCTATGAGTATGAGTGCTTGGTTGTATAGTAATTTCCAGCCACTTTTAGTCTGTCAAAAAGTAACTAACTTCGCAAAAAATAATTACTAAATTCACTAGACAGTTCGGACTAAAGTCCTTACGTTCAGTCGTGATAGCCAGCGTAAACAAGTAGGCGTGGTCTATTGTTTCAGGACTGGACTTGTTTTCGGTGATGTTCTGTCTACGTTAGTGTCTGATTTAAAAAAAATATCAAAATGCACTTTACCTAAAAATAAATTCGATAACGCAATTTATCTTGTATTTCTGTTACTATGAATAAGTTTGAATATCATTTTTAATACGTTTGTAATTCTTTAATACTTCCCAATTTTGTATTGTTTAAAAACGGCTTTCAAAAAGATAGGGAAAATGATTATTTTTGAAATTCTTAGTATGCTATACTATAGAAATAATCTAAACAAGATGTTCCGGCCAGTCTTAGCGAATTTGAATAACATTAAAGTAATACCTACCTTAAAAGGTTTGCAGGTATAATAATAAACTATAATCTTTTAACAACAGGGCAATATCTTAACCATAATAAAAGTATTTTAATTTGAATATTTCTTATGTAGCATTCTGTGAATTTTTATAGATAATAATTTTATGGTATTTCCTAAAACTTAAGATCGTTGGTGGTCAATGTCTTCATTTAACAATGAACATCGCGCATCCCTATTCAGTATCAGTCGAGTAGTTTCGCGTTAACGTTTATTTCTGTATCTCGATCTAAAAATGAACTATTTGTGTTTATAATAATTATTTGTTTGCTAATTTAAAGTTTATGTGGTAGTTTTTTAGTTTTATTAAGACTTTTCAAAGTTGTGCGTTCTAATTTTTAATTTAAAATAGTAGTTTTTTAGTTTTATTAAGTCCAAGTTTGTGCGTTCTAATTTTTAAGTTAAAATGTCCAGTTCTACCGATTCTGCGGAGGAAGTTACACCAAAAAAGCGATCAAAAATGCGTCCTTTTAGTAGTACTGAAAAAAGTGTTATTTATAATGTTTATACATCGACAATAGAATCGCATCCAGAAGCTTTGGTATCGGAAATAGTGAAACAGAC